GTGAGTCACCAGTATTGGTATGATATTCTTCTGTTTCCTATAACTGTTTTTATTTATTATTTTTTTTTAGAGATGGTTTCACCATGTTGGCCAGGCTGGTCTTGAACTCCTGCCCTCAAGTGATCTGCCCCCGCCTCAACTTCCCAAAGTTCTGGGATTACAAGCATAAACTACCACGTCTAGCCAACAAGTTTCTAAACATAATTTGGCTTGGATTGAAAAATAAATAAACGCAAGGTAATTTTTATAACCAAGGATAGGAAGAAGTAGTGCCTTTAAACATGAAAAAATTGATTATAGTAAATATACTTGTTTGTTTGTTTGTTTTTAGAGATGGAGTCTCGCTCTGTTGCCCAGGCTGGAGTGCAGTGGCACGATCTCAGCTCACTGCAACCTCCACCTCCCGGGTTCAAGCGATTCTCCTGCCTTAGCCTCCCGAGTAGCTGGATTACAGGTATGCACCACTATGCCCAGCTAATTTTTTGTATTTTTAGTAGAGACAGGGTCTCACCAGGCTGGGCAGGCTGGTCTTGAACTCCTGACCTTGGGATTACAGGTGTGAGCCACCACGCCTAGCCTGTAAATATACTTGTTTTCTACTGATGCATAACAAGTTACCTCAAAATTCAATATAAACATTTTTATCTCACACATTTCTGAGGGTCAGGGATTCAAGAGTGTAGCTGGATGTTATGGTATCTCATAAGAAGGCTGAAGTCACCTGCTTTCAAAAAGACTAACTCAACATAGCCTTTGACTGGAGGCCTCAGTTCCTCACCAACTAGTTTTCACCACGGGACTGTTTATAACATGGCAGATAACTTACCCCAGAGCAAAACATTCTATACAAGGAGCAAAGAGGAAACCTCATTGCCTTTATGACGTAGTCTGTGGTCACCTACTGTCACATGTGCTTTTTCCATTCCTTAGCAATCACGAACTCTAGCCCATACTCCCTCAAGGGGTAGAGAATTAGGCTCCTCTTTTTTTTTTTTTTTTTCTTTCACGCTTGTTGCCCAGGCTGGAGTGCAAGTGGCAGAATCTCGGCTCACTGCAACCTCCACCTCGTGGGTTCAAGAGATCCTCCTGCCTTAGTGTCCCCAGTAGCTGGGATTACAGGCACCCACCACCACACCTGGCTAATATTTTGTATTTTTAGTAGAGACAGAGTTTCACCATGTTGGCCAGGCTGGTCTTGAACTCTTGACCTCAGGTGATCCACCTGCCTCAGCCTCCCAAAGTGTTGGTATTAACAGGCATGAGCCACTGTGCCCAGCCAGCCCCCACTTCTTAAAAGGAGGAGTACCAAATACTTTAAAATCACCACAGGAAAGGAAAAGATGCATATATTCTTTAACCATTTAAATTTGAGCAATTTCTGTTAAGTAGGAAGTGAAGACAAAATACAGTAGGATATTTAATATGAGAATTGCCCCTCTATAATTGACACAGACAAAATCAGATATTGAACTTTTGGATTAAAAAAAAATCAAAGAACATTGAAAAATGAACTGAGCTAAATTAATTAAACTTTTAATTCACTTGGCTTTATGTTTCTATAAATAAGTAAAATAATAAATGGGTTTATATAATAAATACTACTGTAGTATTACTATAATGTTTTTTATTAATGGAACTTTAATATGATTGCCATAGATTTCCAACTGATACCATACAGCGCTCAAAATGGATCAGGGCTGTTAATCGTGTGGACCCCAGAAGCAAAAAGATTTGGATTCCAGGACCTGGTGCTATACTGTGTTCCAAGCATTTTCAAGAAAGTGACTTTGAGTCATATGGCATAAGAAGAAAGCTGAAAAAAGGAACTGTGCCTTCTGTTTCTCTATACAAGGTACTTAAATGTATGTGTAAATGAACAAAAGTAGATTTTACAGAGCCTTTAAAAATCAAGATAGCTCCCATTATAGCTTGAATTTGCAAACAAAAAACAATCCCAAGTCTTAAATTTACTAATAGATTTTAAATGCTTTGAAAATTAATTTAAAAAAAAAATCTATATCAGCATTTGTTCTGGAGCATTTAAAAAAGTATATAAATGCAAATCATTTGTCTAGACATATGTAAAGGCTACTAACTAATCACAAAAATCAACTAGTAGATATAAACAGCCTTAGAATACAAG